ATATATAGTGATGTGCCATTTGAAAAGGCACTATACACTAATTTCCTCACTCTACTAAGGTCTATTATGCCACTATAATGTCATCCTTCGCATTATGCCTCTACCTATGCCGTGGGCGATGGCTTGTTATCACTTGGAAGATTTCGATGTCAAAGGTTCCCACTTAGAGTGTACATAAGATCTTACTGACATTTCATTCTTTTTGCACGTCATACTTGAAAAAGGTCGTAAGAAGGGGACTTGCAAAAATGAGGGCATTTTATCACTTTAAAGATTTCGAAGCCAAGGGTTCACACTTAAAGATTACATGAAATCCTATTGACATTTCTTTCTTTGGGCACATCGTACTGAAATAAAGGTCCCGTTAGACGGTTACTTGCAAGTCTTAACGTCCTACACATTTCAGAAAGTATGGCTTAAATGCAAAGCAGTTTTGTAGATTATTATTAAGCATTCATTCCGGAGTCCCCCCGCGGACACAGCTTACTCGTTATCTGTATGACCTCCAGAACCCTGTACTTTTATCAGTGGCGTCACCGGATCTGGGCTATTAGGACGTACATGGTATTGTCAAATTTGTACGACCTCCACGTACGTTTTACCTTCACGTGTCAATGCGTGTCAAACCCCTTTTACATGCACCTGTCACAGTTGTAAATAGATGGGCCCAGGTGGGATATTTATATATCTTACATCGCTTTTGATGATGGTAAGATAAGGAATTCATATCGAGATCGATATCGTTTTGCGTAATGGTTGGGTATTTAGCCCAGAACCTACAGGTCCTGGGTTCGAATCACCTGCACAGGAAGAGTAGTGTGAAATTTGTGTAACACTGATACTGGAGATTATAAATAAAACCAGCCAACCAACCAACAAACAACATCAAAGATTAAGTTGCAGCAGAGTACATTTTAGACAGATTTCTGTGCTCGAAAAGCATCATAGATGTGTTGGCCAGTTGGGTGCACATAGGACAAGGTACTAGTATAGAATATGACAGGTTGGCAGATGGAAAATGGTGATCTGTTTTCAAAAGCTTTAGATTTGATTTTAAAATCTGGATTTGTCCTTCGATACAGACTGACAGAAAGGTCAGCCCGTAGGAACATCGTTTGAGTAACACACCAGCTTTTGGGGCACGCGACATCCCAGTGACAGCTGGCTATATCGCATCTAATGCTGAGGTCACATTTCCAAACCGGGGCCCGGCCGGGCTGTTTGGGTAAACGAAAGATTAACAATTCATATCAAGAAAATAGTTACACAGATAGTGCTCGTGAGGACTATAGTGCTCGTGATGACTTTTTCAACTTTTGTATGCTTAATTGCCCATAGTGTTCGTTCCTGATAAATGCCCGTCCTGGCCCCGGTTTGGAACTGTCAACTCAGCATAACAACCTATCACACCTATGCATGTCTAACTGAATGTAACTGCCGTCCAAAAACCCCAAGTGTCATTATATTGCAGTGCCACGATTCGTCAATGTTACTGTTGACAGAATAAGGTTAGGGTGTTATCTTGTCAACAATAAACGGCCTAAATGGACAAAAAGCCAATTTGTATGGAAATGTTCTGAACATGGCTTAGTGAACAATCCCAATGATAACGGTCAACATTCGTGCCATTGATGTAACGTCAAATTTCCTACGAGTGACCTAATTCCAAAAGCTTTGGATTGAAATGGTTTTAAACTATCATCTACTGGTGATGAGTTTATTCTTTACAGAAATCCGGGATTAATTCAATGTTCATCATTGGAAAAATCAATGCAGCTCTGGGGCCTTTATTTCCTGAATTACTGAGTCTGGTCTGGATCGACAAAGATTCAATTTATGTGCAAATTTGTCAGTGAACTGGAAATTAAGTACCTTATTACCCGAAGATTAGCTCTGAGGGCGTTGTGGAAGCTGAAGCAAATTATCTGCCGGACAATTACGTTTTAAATTGCACAGAAAGTTTTGGCTGAATCTGTGCCGTTCTTAAACAGTTAATTTATCTGATGTTTTTTTTTTTTATGCTGCGATAAAGGGCCCAATGTATCAAAGAATCCTGTCAGTTTTGGACAACCTGTTTTAAGCTTATTTTCTATTCTTTTATATCATACCTTTCGTTTTGGGCCCTGGGCTGTGAATTGTTACCTTAGCCGAACCCTTCTGAGGTGCTTACGTAAGATGAGGTATCCTATTATTAGTATGAGTTTCAGAACGTTGCTTTTCCACCACGTTTCCGTTTGTGACTATTCGCTTATAAAGTCTAAGGCGAAATGTTTAAAGCAAGCTTAAGCTTAAGCCTAAAT